CAGCAGTTCAAGTTGGGAAAGGCTGAACGCGTACTTGCTGTATTCACGCATCTCTTCCTGCCGTCATTCGATCGGGATGTTTGGGTCAAGGCTTCTCTTTCTGTTCCAGAGTCAAGCTATCTCGATCAGATAGGATGTGGCCACAACCATCCACTTACCTGGGCCAGCATACCATCTCTCCCGCGTCCCATCTCACCACTCTGGTTGCTTTTCATAGCTCCTCCTTAGCATCTTTTGTCTATCGTTAATTCCACCCGCACTTGTTTGTCATGGCGGAATCAGCTGCGGCTACGGACGTGCCTCTTGTGGAGCAACCCGAGAAGCATACCAAGCCCAAACGTCCTCACAAGCCTGCGAAGCCCGGACATCATGGCAGGCCCGTACCACCACTGCCTGTCGAACCGCCTCCTAATCCATATCCTGAAGACACCGATACAGCTGCACCTGAGCCAGATGATGAGCCAGAACCGCCGGAACTTGATTTCAAACCTCCTCCCAATCCACCAGAGGAGGGCCCTGGTGAAGCTCAGACTGATGGACCTGCTGAAGAGGCACCTGAAGCTACCCCAGAAGAGCCTGTAGCTGAGCCTGCAGCTGAGCCTGAAGCTGCGCCTGAAGCTACGCCCACCCCGGATCAACCTCCCGCAGATCCTGCACCTGAGCCGGATACAGAACCTGAAGCTGCCCCCGAAGAACCAGCAGCAGACCCACCAGCTGAAGAGCCTGAAGCTGCAACCGAACCTCCTGAACCTGTAGAGGAGCCCCCTGAAGAAAAGCAGTCTGAACCTGCCGCTGAACCAACACCTGACGCCGCGCCAGAAGAGCCAGCAGCACAGCCTTTAGCTGAAGAGCCCGAAGCTGCTCCAACTCCAGTTCAGCGTTCGGTAGATCCTGCACCTGAACCTGTCCCCGAGGAGCCGACAACAGAGCCACCAGCTGCAGAGCCCAAAGATGAAACACCCGCGGAGGCTACATCAACAGAACCAGCGCCGGAACCAGAGCCAACGTTGCAGGTGCCTGCTACAGAGCCCGTTGAGACAGCACCTGTAGAGCCCCCACCACCAGCTGCCGAGCCTGAACCTACGCCCGCGCCTGTCGAGAGTGCAGCCGAACCGGAAGCACCATCTGAACCAGTTCCAGATGCACCAACAGAACCTCCACCTGCACCACCTGTCGCGGAAGAGCCCGAGGCAGCACCGGCGGCTGAACCTGAGGTCGCACCGGTGTCTAGGGCTGTAGAGCCAGAAGCACCAGCAGAAGCAGCGCCGGTACCGGAGGCAGCACCTGCATACACTGCCGCAGAGACCGAAGACCTGCCCCCTCAGCCTCCAGAAGCGCCAGCGCCCGAACCGGCACCGTCTGTGGCAGAAACAGAAGCACCAGCCCCTTCCGTAGCCACTACTGCCACGTGAGTACACTGACTCCTCCGATATCGCTATACTACACTACCCTTGATTTCATACTAACATCCACCAGCAAAACCCGCAAACGCGACAAAGTCAAGCTTCTGGCAGCAATGCGCGCACCGCCCGAGTCCGTCCCTATAATGGTGCTTCTCCGCCAGAAGAAGAAGGCTGGTGAGGACGTCAAGGCCATTGCCGATGCCATGCTCGCGGCCGCGGGATCTTGAAGTGAATTGGAAGATTGGTATTTGGATCGTGGTGGTGAACTTCAAGTCCACCTAAGAATTCCCTCTACCTGGCTTTGACTACCTACCCCTATGTAGATGCTACTCGTAGCTCAATTTCATCATTACCCTTGTCTTCGTTCACGTGTAACGCCTCTTCTCTGCTTCATACCGTACATGATAAAGACCGGACTTCTCTTAGCATGCTCTTCTTTACCTACTACAACACGTGTAAGAAGGTTGCTGTGTTGATACAAAAGTAGCCCAGACGACTACGATTCCCTGGAACCCTCAACAAAGTCCTCCTATCTATCGATGTAGACTGCAGTACACGAGATGCACCTGGTGTCTCTTGTTCAGATTCTTTCTTGTATACCGCAACTCCGCGCAAGAAGTTACTACTGACATGCAGCGACGTGTATATAGACACCATAATGTCTCCATCCGTCTTGGCATTCCTATTCATTCCGTCTCCTCAATACCCACCGTGCAAGCTCTGCTGTTGAGCATGACGCCAGATATGCCTCGCTCTGAGCCTTCGCCGCCAAGTCACCTCTTCTCGCGCTGGGCTTCTCTCATCACTTCTCCATACTCCCACTCATAGTATTGTAGTTCCATCGTCAACCCCAACCCTCTTCACCCCCCAACAGCCTTCCTAACCAAACTCCTCGCTTCCTCCAGGCCTCTGCCCAACTCTCCCCTCTTATGCGCCTCCTTGACCTCGTAGTGGTACTTCAGCAGGTCTTTTGCGCGCTTCAGCTCTGGGTCTTGCTCCTCGTCCACCATTGTTGTCGTTGTTGGGTCTGTTATTGGTGTCTTTGCGGCGGCATCGTGAGAAGATGGGAGTGACGTGGAGGTAGAGGCATTCGCGTGCGCGGATACGAGGGCGAGTGCTGCGGCGGGGTCCTACAGTCGGATCGTGTTAAAAAGGGTACAGGTTTGCTGGTGTAGAGAGGGTGACGTACACAGACGCGCAGGGAGACGAGGTCAGATAGTATTTCCGCGAGTTGCATTGTGTTTCCTTGGGTTTGCGCCATATCTGCTATTGCTGACAGGAAGCTTGATTCGGCGTGTTTGGTAGCAGCTGTGTAATGCAGCGTGTGCTGGTTCTGATAGTTTGGTTGCGATGCGAGCGCAAGTGGGATGCATGGCCTGGAAGCTCTGACGTTCACCCCACATCTCGGTTCCCAACTCCCCGTCGCGGGCAGGGGCTCAGCTTAAAACTGCCCCGTCAATTGCCGGCTAAGTACTTTGCCGAAGACGGTGTGCGACCTTTGCTTTCAATCATCTCTGCGTGATTTTGGGTCATTGTTTTGAATACGTTCGTTGGTCATCATTATGGCGAGTATCCAAGCTATCAGGGCAAACTGCCGCAAGGTACGTGATTTCGTGTCATGTTCGCGCTATCAACGGGTTAAGAGAAGAAGAAAGGGCTGGGAAGTCGCGTCAAAGTGAGGGCTGCATTTGTAGAGTTGCTCATTTGTCATCCTATGTGAAGACATGTGCCATCTCTCTGGCATACGTGTTATGAAGGTTGAGATTGGGACCCATGAAAGGAAGCATTTGGCAGAAACGCTCTTCGTGCAATCTGACATGTTATAGGTCATGTGCATAGGCAGAAACTATGCAGACCACATCAAAGAGCTGTCCAGTGCTACGCCTAAGCAGCCCTTCTTCTTTCTGAAGCCGCCGTCGTCTATCTTACTACCCGGCGCTGGCCCGGTCCTCCGCCCACGTGGTGTAAACATGCACTATGAAGTTGAGCTTGGTCTCATCATGGGAAAGACATTGAGGGATCTGCATCCTGAAGATACTAAGGGTGCTATGGATGCTATCGAAGGTACTAAGAACGCCATACATCCAGCCAAATGTAACAGTATATCGAGATCCGTCCGACTAACATTACGTACTCAGGCTACATTCTCGCTATCGATATGACAGCTCGTAACGTGCAGGACGAGGCGAAAAGAAAAGGACTTCCATGGTCTATCGCAAAAGGCTTCGACACGTTCATGCCCATCAGCAACTTCATCGCGAAAAACAGAATCCCAGACCCACAGAAAGCACATCTTTGGCTCTCAGTCAACAACGAGATGAAGCAGTCCGACAACACTGAGCTGATGCTTTTCCGGATCCCAAGACAGCTGAGTGACATTAGCAGGGTCATGACACTGGAGAAGGGCGACATCGTACTTACGGGAACACCGAAGGGTGTAGGCCCAGTGAAGACGGGTGACGTTATGCGTGCAGGGCTGAAGGTCGATGGAAAAGATATCGAAGAGGCAAGTTTGGAGGTGCCAGTTGCGGATCGCGAGGGGTTGTACGAGTTCAGCGAGACATAGAGTCAGTTCCCTAATCGAGGACAATCAATGAGGCTCGTTTGCTTCCGATGGATACCAAAAATCATCGAGTTCCGATACCTCTTGTTTCGTCCTAAGAGGATTTTTTCTAGTGCCAGACCCAACAGCTAGCTCAACTCGGCTGCCCGTATTGCGCGAGCTCGAAGGCTTAGGAATGGCCTTCAAACGTGACAGTGGCGCTGCTGCTGCTTTGCGAGGTGACTTCTTAGCTCTGCCTGCCACAGTGGTATGCATGTCATCGCTCTCGCTACGTCCAGTCCCTGTCACTTTCTGCGGACTGCGTAGAATGACAACGAGTGACTTTTGCTGCCCCTTCTTTACAGCGCTCGGTCGAACTGGCGAGGGATTCCTCCTTTTGGCAGGTGAAGTGGTGGCTTTAGGTATGTTCGACTTGGCAGGACTTCTCGTAACTAATTGAGTAGGCTCAATCGCCCTGTTCTTGCTTTGATTTGCAGGAGCATTGCGCTTTGCGGTCGCAGGAGCTCTACCGGTGGGCTCAATCGCTGTGCTGGATCTGGTCTTGATATCGTCTAATCCTTGATCATGGGCAGTCTTTTGCTTCTTGCGCAATGAAAGAGCTGGCTCGACCAACTGTGTTGGCGGGAGGAGTGATTCGCTACTTGTTACATGCGGCTTTCGCTCTTCAGCATCCTGTTCTTGAATCTTCTTGGCTTGAGCGCGAGTCAGCCTTTGGGTCTGGGGCTCCTTCGTAGGCTGCTTTCGCTTTCGTGTAATGGCGTTGCCGGTCAGCTGCGTTGGAGGCGGAGCGACTCTGGCACGTGGGCGAGGCTTTCGGGTAGGAATTGGCACTGGAGCTGGGGCTGGAATTGGAGCCGGGGCCGAAGGATGAGTCGGGCGGTTGTGATGGACCAACTGCGTTGCAACGGGAGCAGCGTATACTGGTTGAATAGGCCTTGGAACAGGTGTTCGCACTTGTCTCTGCTCCTCTGCCAGATGTGGCAACATAGAGTTGTGGATCGAAGGTCTCTGCATCAGTCTCTGTCTTGCTGACTTCACTGGATGACCTGGAGGTAGAGCTGAAGTAGACGTATCGACTGTTCCCCTACGCTAGTCGTTAGCGTTACAAAAGGTCGTACCGAAGGCCGCTCTTACCTTTCTTTCATCTCTGGACTCCGGGGTACTTGGATTTCTTCACGTGCAAACCCAGGCATGAGTATCAGGTCTTCATCGTCCGTGTCACTTGTTATTTCTGAAGTTCCGGCGTTGGGTAATTGAGACGGTGTCATGGATCTCAGCATGCCATGCTGAGGCTTGTAAACGGTTTGTGGGCCAGCGGTGTTGGACTTGGACTTGGGATCCTGTGGCGTAGATTTGAGCCGGGTGACTTCTTCTTCTAGACTCTCGATCCGACGCGCGTCTTGATTACGACCAGCTTCGAGAAGATCAAGACGTCGAAGAACACCCTTCAGTTCCCTGGGGACCTGTTTGAGCTTGTCGAGATCGTCCACAGCATGAGACACAACATTATCCAGCTCGATCTGCTTCTGCCTGACGTGCTTGTTCGTGTCGACGAAGATGCCGAGGCGTGTCATCTCACCTGCTGCCCACTTCTCGAAAGCCTTGTCGTCATCTTCGGCTTCGATCGCTGCGAGTTGTTGCTCCAGGTGTCGGACCCTCGACGTAGCAGCTTCGGCAGCCTCTGCAACGTGTTCGGTAGATCTGATGCGGGCTTCGTATTCTTCATGATGCTTCTGAAGTGTTCGCATCTCCGTGAGCAGGTGGGCGTGCTGTTGTTTCATCTCTGGTCCCCATAGCAGTGCCTCCGCCGATGCGAACGGCATGCGTGAGTCGACATCTGTCGCCGAACTAGGTCTTCTGGGACCCATTGCGAGGGGATGCGAATCAGTGACGATAATGCGTTAGCTAGTACGATGCGGTGATGAGGGTAAGTGATGTTGCCGGTGAGGCCAGGTAGAAAACGCTGACCGCTACATGAAAGGTGACGAGAATGACTGGCTGTGTGCGCCGTAAGATGAGAGGCGATATTCGCGACGCGATGGTGGGTCCAGACGAGAGAAGCAGGCACGAGGTTGGGTGTGGCTTCCTCAGTCGAGCAGCTTCACCGAGCTGGCACATCTCCGCCACCCCATCAAGGGATAGACTGGACATCACCTATAGACGTGAATAGAAGCAAACAACCTGGAAATCTGCATCAAGTTAATAGTTTGCTGACTTCCGTTCTGATAACAACTAAGACTGCAGCGCACCTGCAAAGGTTCCTTTTCAACGTGGTGCGGCAACACATTAACCGCAACGCCTTAACGAAGACCAGATCAGAAGACAGTTAATGAAGTAAACTCTTTCTTATTTCATGCTACCTACTGGGTACCCCCCACTTCCACTCAATCAGATCAAGCAGTACGCTTCGGTCCTTTCGGCGCATCTATCACATCATCTCTCTTCATGATGCGAATCTTCGTGTCTTTCTTTGCGCTATCTCCATCCGATTCAGATTCCTTTGGCCGTTCCGCCACACTCTTGTCGTAGCTACTCGGGTCGATACCAAGAATGCCACCTACGTTGTTGCGGTCACCAGGGACAGAGAATTCGCGGAAGGCATAACGCCATTCGTTTAGGAAGCCGCGAATAGCCTTGCCAACTTTGTCCTTGCCGTTCTTGGAGTGGTGACCTGTTCCTGTAATAGCGTAGACTGGACGCGAAGAAGAGCTGTGCTTTAGAAGGATGCCTTCGAGATACGAAACCGACTCATCTGGATGCAGACCTGGGTAATGTTAGTCTCGGTATGAACACACAATCTATCTCGACGTACCGTGAAGATCAACATACAGCTCTCTCGAGCCGTCGCTGTCCTTATTGCGATCTTCGTAAAGGATACGAGCAGCTTCACGGTGAGCTTCACGCATCAGGTTATTCTCGCTCTGCCCCCTAAGACTAAGAGCTTTAGCCGCGCGCGAATCGCTGCGGTTCCAAGCTTGAGCAGCGCTGTTGTATGTTAGCGATGGAATGGCGTAGGACGAGGCATGCCTCTTACCTCTGCAAAAACTTGTTGCGCAGACTGCCATGCTTGAAAGCCTCGGCGCGAGCTTTGAGATAAGCCTGATTGCCCTTCTCACCCGTCTCTAGCCATGGAATGTGCTGAGGAGCGGGTATCGCCTGGGCAGCCACACTGTTCTCGCGAGATCCTGTGAAGCTCTTAGTCGGTCTCAATCCCTTGCGAGCCGGAGTGGCAGGAGCCGGAACAGGCGACATGCGAACGACATCTGCAAGATTGTTAGGTCCTGGAGCATCTTTGTGATGGCCATGTCCACCTCGCTTGCCGTGGTGACGCTTTCCAGTCTTAGCAGCAGCAGCGGAACCCAGACTGGGGAAAGCGTCGTTATCGTCGACTGCGAGCACTGAAGGTGTAGTGGCACGCGAGGTCTGGCGACTGCCGGTTCTAGACTGCGGGCGACTACCGCCTCCGGGAGTGAAGTTTGCAAAAGGACTCAGTCCTGGTGGAGGGCGTGTGGGGCCACCACCTGTCAGACCGTAGAGCTGTTCCAAAGAGGTCGCGGCTGATGTTATCGACGGTGTGCCTAGGGGAGAGCCGTTGTAGTGGAGCGTGGGGAACTCATAATCGGACATCTGGAAGTTGGGTATTGGTGGAGTCTGGACGTCTGACACAGCCATACGAGCCATGAGCGCAGAGGGGTCATGTGAGAAGAGGCATGTATCGCCAGCTAGACAGTTTCCATTCAGAAAGTACCTGTGTTGGGTATTAGCCTGGACTACCTAGAGAGCTGTATATATACCTACTTGCACAACGTCTTGCTGGTGTCATGGCTAAATCTGCAGTCTGCTCGGGCGCAATGTCCAGTTGACAGGAAGTACTTGCACACGATGTTGCTCTTCTGCTGGCCCACGGGTGTACTAGGCCTGAATGCTGGGCTCATAGACTTTCCGATGACGTATCCCGGGTGTTCGGAGGGTGTGGTAGGGAGTTGTTGTACGTCCAGTTGCTGTCCCATGAGTGCGAGGAGAGCGGCACTGAGGTCGTAGCCATTGGCCTCCAAGACCTTCTCCAGCTCTTCGTCTGATCGGTCGTCCCTGAGGATCGAGCGCAGCATGTCGTATGGGCCCATGTCCATGGTCTGGGGCTGCACCCATTCGGCCGCGGCACCGTTGAGCGTGCCATCGCCGAGGAGAGACGACTCAGTGCTCGCGGCGTCATCGTTGACTAGCCAGTCGACGGAGTGGCCATCGAGGTCGCCATACGACTCGGTGTTGGGACTTGCGCATTCGCTGAACTGGTATGCGCTCAGGCTGGGGCTGTGGGGGATATGCGGTGTGGAAAAAGCAAGGCGAGGCGAGGGTCGCGGGGAAGTAAAGGGGGACGCGGTTGACGATTTTGTGCGCGCGAATCCAGGTGGCATGGGGAAGCCCGGCGGAGGGTGTACCATGCGCGGCGAGGCGTTGACAGGAGTAGGGGCGCGATTGGCCTGCCAGGGAGCTGGCGAGGGCCGGCGGATGATGGTATGGCGGCTGGGGGGAGAGCTGGAAGAGCTGCCGGCGTCGCGATAGCGCCAGAGGCAGTCTAGGACAATGTTCTCAAGTGATTTGCCCGTGAGGTTGGTCTCCTTGCGCATCAGCTCCTCGAGCTTGTCCGTCTTGTCCTCCTCATCCAGGGCCTCGTCCTGCAGCACAGGCAGCGCCTTCTCGTACAAGTCGTCGGCGACCATGGCGGTTACTTCCAAGCGGGCAAAGGATACTGGGCGATGGGTGTTCAGGTGTGGCGCGCAGGACGGGTGAGGTCAGAGGTCAGAGGTCGGGGTCCAGGTCGAGACAGGAGGCCGTCGGGGGTGATTAGAAGTACTGCGGTAATGGCAGAGGAGCGACCGGCGCGTCACAGGAGGAATGAAGCTGCAACGAAGGGCAATAACCAGTCCCGCAGCCTTCTTCTGCAGGACACACCAAGTGCGCCAAAACGGGCAGAGTGATGGAATGCCTGGGGCGATCTCGAGCGCGAATGAAGCTCAAGGGACTAGGCTCAACTACGTAGGGGTGGGGGATGCTTGCACCGTGCAGCAACGTCGACCATACAGCGGGAACGGTAATCTCCAGCACTTGCTCCCGGTCTGCCCTACATGGCCCTGGAGCCTCAAGCGGGTGGTGATGCGGTGCGTGTGCGTGTGAGTCTCAGCTGAGCGAGGATGATGACGACTGGGGCTGGATAAGAAGTGCTGCGATGGCATTCGTCGGCGGAAAAACAAGCTGCAACATATGCCTCAAGTATCGAATAGGGCTATGGGCGCCACAGACTGCGAGAGGCTGAGTAATCACGTGCTTTGCGTCGTGTGGGTCCGCGGAAACATCCATGGATGCAGTACGTTGTAGGTTGCTCGGAGCTGTCTAACATGACCAGAGCACATGTCACACACAGCATATGCGCATACAATGCGGCAATCACCTTATACACGAAATAACTTGAACAGGTCTGCGGACTACATCACGACAAAAACCTGCAAAGTGGGTAACCCAACGTCAACGTAGGCTCCAGGGTGTTCAGTTTTTTGCTAGGTTGACTTGCAATCATCGAATTATAGTTGTCCCACGCGCATGCCGAGCAAGACTGCTTTTCAACTCGGGGCCGATCTGATCTAATCGCCTAATGCAGGGCGGATCCATGGCGGATGCACCGCGTTCGTCCGCCCGGATGACGATGAAACCCAGAGCTCTCCAACAGCGCCCACACCACACTAGCATTAGCATCTCACACCAAAGCTGCCTCCGCCGCTCCACTACCACCACGCGGAATGTCCGTCTCCAGTTGTATCAGCTAACATCTCCCATTACCCTTCTATTCACTTCCCTACCGCATTCACATCCTCTTACCTCCGCATACTTCCGCGCCACTCCGTTAGGCGCACCTCCCCGTATCGTATAGAGGCATCCATCAACATGCCAGCGAGCGACTATGATGTCCGCGCTCTTGCGCTTCCTTTAGACGACGAGGAAACAGGCCAGACGCCAATATGGAGTCGACGTCCGCAATCATCCACCTTCCGGCGCAACGCATCGCACCACAGTCAACAGAGCTCATGGCGGCAGCGCGCCATGGACAAATACGATACGCTCTCGCGACGAGTCCTCGATCAGTATAACAAACTTTCTCCCCTACAGAAAGTGCTGTTCTTCGTAGGGAACTTGGTGCTGGCAGTGGGCGGCATACTGTTCCTGGTGTACAACGAGCGCATATTCGGGGCCCTGTTGCCCGTCGCGAAGAAATGGAGAGACGTGACAGCCGGATGGTTGATCCTCTGGGTCTTGATCTTCATCGTATCATTTCCGCCATTGATTGGCTATTCGAGTTTACTCACCATAGCCGGCTTTGTTTATGGCTTTCCCAACGGGTATGCTTCACACATTATTCACAATACGCAATCTGACAGTATACCAGTTGGTTCATAGCCGCGACAGCAACCGTCGCCGGTAGCACAGCATCCTTCCTCCTCTCGCGCACTCTCCTCAAATCCATGGTCCACCGCCTCATAGCCAATGACACGCGCTTCGCTGCCCTCTCCCTCACCCTCAAACACGATGGTCTCAAGCTCCTCGTCATGTACCGACTATGTCCGCTACCATACTCCATCTCCAACGGCGCTGTCGCAACCTTCCCCACCGTACATTGGGCATCATATGCTCTAGCCACAGCCATTGTATCACCAAAGTTGATGCTACACATATTCATCGGCAGCCAACTCGAGAAGATTGCTGAGAGTGGAGGGAAAATGGACCCCGGCACAAAAGCTCTATCCTACGTTTCCATCTTCATTGGTCTCGTTGCGGGTGTTACCACGGGCTGGCTCGTATACCGTAAGACCAAGGC